CGCAACCGTCGCCACTTCCGAGAGCTCCTGGGGCGCACGGGTGAGGCGAGGGCCGCGCAGATCACTTCAAGACCTCGCGGCTCCTCGGGGGCCTGCGAAGTACGAAGTCGTCGCCACTTTCGTGGGCTTCTGAGGGGCACGGCGGAGTGAAAGGGCAGCGCAGATCCGTTCGAGACCTCGCGGCTCCGTCGGGGACTTGTTGCCGCTTTCATGGGCTGCTGGGTGGCCCGGGTGAGGTGAGGGCAGCGCAGCTCATTTCGAGATCTCGCGGCTCCCTCGGGGCCTGCGAAGTGCGAAACTGTCGCCACATTCGAGGGCTTCTGGGAGGCACGGTGGAGTGAAGGGCAGCGTAGATCACTTCGAGACCTTGCGGCTCCGTCGGGGGCTGCGAATTGCGAAACTACCACCGCTTTCGTGGGCTGCTGGGAGGCACGGCGGAGTGCAGGGCAGCACAGCTCACTTCGAGACCCTGCGGCTCCCTCGGGGGCCGCGAAGTGCGCGATCGTCGCCACTTTTCGTCGTGGGCTCCCGGGAAACACACGGCGGGGAGTGCAGGGCAGCGCACCTCCTGCATAATTATCTGGCGCCTCGTTCTTCTGCATCGAGCGTCCTTACAAATATTTGCCTCGTCGCCGTCGTCGTCGTCGTGGTCGTCGTCGTCATCGTCGTCGTCGTCGCCATTCAGGGTCGGCGGCACTGGCCGTAAGGCCTTCGCAGTATTCGCCTCCCTGGAGCTGTGGACCTCCCTTCGCAATATGCGCCTCCCTGGAGCCTCCCTCGAAATTCACGTCTCGGGTCATTTCACAGCGTGGCCCCCCTGGAGCTGTGCACCCATTCCCAGGGACTGGTTCTCCATCCTGGCCTGACTGCCGACGGTGCCAGGGGCCGTGGAGGGCCAGAGGAGGCCGAGAGTGGCCAGGCACCTCCAGGCGCGATCTTGCCACAGCCCGAGGATGTCTGGGAGGACGGGGAGGGGAGGGATGGGGGCGAGGAGTCTCCAGGCTCCTTGGGCGGGCAGAGCTGGAGAGCTCCGCCAGCTGGTGCAAGCGGCTCTTCGCGCTCCTGCGTGGGCGCTGCTGCCGCCCGGGTAGGGGGAGGGGAGGACGTGCGATGTCCACGTTCTGTTTGCGTATTCTTTTTCGTCCTCTTATTCTTCTGCTATCCCTATTCGTGCCCCTTCTTCTACTTCTTCTTCTCCTCCTTCTTTCTCTTCTCCTCCTTCTTCTCCTCCTTTTTCTCTCCCCCCTCTCCCGGCATCCGGGGTGCTAGGTGGGTGCTGGGAAGGGAGGGGAGGGGGGGGGCAAACAGGGCTCTGCCGAGTCGGGTTCACCGGCCTCGCCCGCACCGTTTGTTGCATTTTTTGGTGATCCATGTGTTGTCTGTTTACTTGATGCATGTTTTGTGCCGTCGTTTTTTTTTTTTTTTGTTCTCTCGTTGTTGTTGTTGTTGTTGTTGTTGTTGTTGTTGTTGTTGTTGTTGTTGTTGTTGTTGTTGTTGTTGTTGTTGTTTATGTTGTTGTTATGTTAGTTGTTGTTAATGTTGTTGTTGTTGTTGTTGTTGTTGTTGTTGTTGTTGTTGTTGTTGTTGTTGTTGTTGTTGTTGTTGTTGTTGAACATTATTTCTTCTTACGTAAGAATAATTATTGTTGGGACCCCTGGTGCACGACCCCCCCGCCGCGCCTAGGCCGCAGCCTCATTTTCATCATTTTCGTGAGGAAGTCTCAGGCAAAACGGGGGGTCCGGATCCGGTTGTGTTGTTACGATCGGTTTTCCCTTGCAAAAAATAAGCTAAAGTGGACATTTCTTGTTCTAACATAACCAAACTTCAAGAATCCCTTGCAAAAAATAAGGTAAAGTGGACATTCGCGCGCGCAAGACGAAATCCTTCCAAAACCTTAGTTTTCGTAGCGATTTTAACATACAAACATCAAAAAACCAATGGTTTTTCAAAAAAATTGTCAAAATTTCATCCCGCGCGCTCTTGCGGATTCGTAGGAAACCCAACACTTTTTAATCATTTCTGTCAAACGGGCTTTTGCGAGCAACTTTTTCGAACTTCTGCAACAACGGTTGCGCACCTGCCAGGGCCATCATCCCTGTCAAATAATACCATGCGGGACACATTCGTTTTTTCTTCGCGCGCGCACGCCGTCGTCGTCGGCCGCGGGGCCCTGAATAGTAGCCACGGTCGTCCGCATGCCACGAAGTGAAGTGTCCGAACGTCATAGGGCGGGAAGCTGGGTGTGGGTGGTGGCGAAGAGTCGTTTGGAAATTTGGTAGAGCTTGAACCGGCCCCCCCACAAAGTGGGGGTATTGCCCGCCTCCTATGAAAACCCTGGCACTGGTGAGAACGGTGTGTCCCCACGTGCTAGTAATTGTTGTTGTTGTTGTTGTTGTTGTTGTTGTTGTTGTTGTTGTTGTTGTTGTAGCAGTAGTAGTAGTTGTTGTTGTTGCTGCTGCTGTTGTTTGTTTGTTGTTGTTGTTGTTGTTGTTGTTGTTGTTGTTGTTGTTGTTTTCAAGCAAACATCAAAATTATGTTTATTTTATTTTGTTGGTTGAAGTTTTCTGTTGTTTTCGTTTGTTTTGTTTTGTTTTGTTTTCTCTTTCCGTATACACGTAGAAAATTGCCTGCTTTGTTTGTTGATCGGTGTATCTACGCACCAGAAGGAGGCGGCCAGATCTTCGTGACGCCGTTGATCGGGGCAGCAGTCGAGGTCGCCCCGGATCGGCGCTCCTCCCCCCCAGGAGAAGGTGCAGGAGTGGCTCGTGCAGGCCTGCGAGGGCCACCTGCAGCAGCGGGCGGCCGACGGCGTCTCCAGGAGGAGCCGCCCTCCTCCTTCTGCTGCTCCTCCTCCTCCTCCTCCTCGTCCTCCTCGTCCTCCTCGTCCTCCTCGTCCTTCTCCTTTTCCTCCTTTTCCTTCCTCCGTCTCCTCCTCCTCGTCCTCCTCCTCGTCCTCCTCGTCTTCCTCCTCCTCCTACTCGTCCTCCTCCTTCTCCTCCTTGTCCTCCTCCTCCTCATCCTCGTCGTCCTCCACCTCCTCCTACTCCTCGTCCTCCTCCTCCTCCTCCTCCTCCTCGTCCTCCTCCTCCTCCTCCTCCTCGTCGCCCTCCTCCGCCTCCTTCTCCTCCTCGTCCTCCTCCTCCATCCTTTCTACAGTTTTTTTTTGTTTGTTGCCCATTTGAGATCTCCAGTGGCCCGCGGGTTCCCAGGGCCTCGGACGGCGCCAACAAAGTCCGCACAGAACGGCTGAGGCGGCACCTGTGGATTACCCTACAGGGTCAACGCCAAAACAGCTAGGTGGACACAGGCATTGCCGGGTGGACGCCGGCGTGTCGCACAAAGCGCGGGAGGGGGGAGGAGGAGGAAAGAAGAAGACGAGGCGAAGACAATGGAGAGCCAAGGGAAGAAGAGGGGCGACGGTGCACTGCGAACGTCCCCACGCAGCCCGAACGGCCGCCAAGAGGATGCAAAACAAAACGCACAGCGGCAAGCCAGAGGGGAAGAGGGAGGAAGGAAGTCAACGAAACGAACGAGAGCGAAAGGAAGCGAGCGAGGACGAAAAGAAAACAAGGAGGACATAGATGTACATATACTTCTAAGGCAGCGCCAGCCGGCGGACGCGGGAAGCTCGCTGAGTAATAGGAGCCCGTCCGGCGGGCACGCCCGAAACATGCACGCGCACATTGAACGACTGCCTTACTGGGGATTCTGGACGCCCGAAATGGGTACTGAATGAATGGGTACTATGCCCAACAGCGGATCCTGTTCATTTTGAACAAGATCCGCTGTCCACGCCTCCGCGGCTTGTGTCCATTCGAGACAGGAGGCCGCCCGCCCAACAGCGGCCGCTGTTGGTTTGGGACAACATTTGCTGTTGGGCATAGTACCCATTTTTTCGGTACCCATTTCGGGCGTCCAAAGGGATGGTCCTGAGTCTCGAAACCTGCACCAGCTTCAGGGATGGAGTCGCAGGCTTAGAGGTTGACACCAACACCAAGATCGGCGGTGGGCCTCCACCGAGGGAGGACGATCCCGATCTCGGTGGTGGTGGTGATGTTCCGGTTTCCAAGGTGACCGAAATATTAGAAAGAGCATGTTCTACCGCTGCTGGCGGAAAGCCGGGGGGGGTCACTAGGGGTTCCCAACCCGTCCAACCCCCCCCCTCGAAAACCGGGGGGGGGGGCACTACTGGTTCGAACCCCTCCCCCCCCAGTCCATCATGAACGGGGGGGTGGGGGGCACTGCTTTCGACCCCCCCCCCCTCGAAAACCGGCCCCCCCCCCTCGCCGCCGGCAAACGATTCCTGCTCCTCGGGACAGTTGGACAATGGTGGGGATGCTGGGACAGTGGTGGGAACGGTGGTGATGGGGACAGTGGTGCGGGGACAGTGGGACAGTGGTGCGGACAGTGGTGGGGACAGTGGTGAGGGGACAGCGGGACAGTGGTGGGGACAGTGGGACAGTGGTGGGGACGGTAGTGGTGGAGACAGTGGTGAAGGCGGTGGTGAGGACAGTGGTAGGGCAGTAGTACAGTGGGGAAGGACAGGGGTACAGTGGGGACTGGTGGGGGCAGTGGGGACAGTGGTGGGAACAGTGGGACAGCTCAGTGGGACAGCGGCGGGGACAGTGGGACAGTGGGACAGAGGGGACAGTGGGACAATGGTTGGGGCCGTGGGGAAGGTGGGGAGAGTGGGACCGTGGTGGGAAGAGTGGTGGGAACAGTGGTGGGGACAGTGGGGACAGTGCGACAGTGGTGGGGGCACTGGTGGGGACAGTGGGGACGATGGTGGGAACAGTGGGGACAGTGGTGGTGAGGACAGTGGTGCTGGGGACAGCAGTGGGGGATGTGGTGCGGACGGTGGTAGGGACCCGGGAGTCGTTTGCTGGCGGTGAGCGTGGGGGGGGGGAGGGGTTCGAATCGGTAGTGACCCCCCCCGGTTTTCTGGAGGGGGTGTGGGGTTCGAACCGGTAGTGACCCCCCCCCTCGGTTTTTTGGAGGGGGGGAGGGGTCCGAACCGGTAGTGACCCCCCTTTGGTTTTCTGGGGGGGGAGGGGGGTGGGAGGGATTCGAACCGGTAGTGGCCCCCCCCGGTTTTCCGGAGGGGGGGGAGGGGGTTTAGGGGAGGGGGGGGGTTTTGCCGGGGGGAAGGGGGGGGGGTTCCAGCAGGGGGGGGGAGGATTTTCGGATGGGGGGGGGAGACCCCTGGGTTCCGGAGGAAGAGGGGGGGAATTTTCAACAGTAAAGCGGCGGTGGATCACGCTCTCTCAAATATTACCACCAACACCGAAACATAGGACCATCTTCCCGATGTGGAGGCAACCCCCTGTGCTGGTGTTGGTGCCAATTTCCAGAACTCCAATGAAGGGCGGCTGGTTTCCAAAATGTAGCAGTCGCCTTAGCGCCGCGCGCATTCGTCCGCAACGCTTGCAGCAGTTTCAGGGATGGAGGACCGACAGTCGTTTTAAGAAGTTGCATCGGTTTTGACGATGGAGGGTGGTTCGTTTTCAAAGTGTGGCTCTCCCGGTTTAGCTCTGCCCGCATTCGTTTGACACATTTGTATTAGTTTCGAATTTGAAGGGCGGTCCGTCTTCAGAATGTGGCTCTCGCCTTTGCGGCGCGCACATTCGCCTTAAAAGCCTGCAGCAGTTTCAAGGATGGAGGGCGGCTCGTTTTCAAGACGCTCGCCTGATCGTCGCGCACACTCGTTACAAACATCGGCGACAGGTTCAAGGGCTCGTGTGGTTGAAGGCCCAGGATCGGTGCTCTGGTGCGACTGCGAAGGCCTTACGGTTGGTGCCACCGACTCTGACAGGGGACGGCGACGACGACGACGACGAAGACAACGACGCTGATGCTGTGGAGCCGAACCCCCACGGGTGTCGCAGACCCCGGGAGCCCCCCTCCCACCACCCCCCGGATGCCCCAGACCCCCCCACGGGTGCCCTCCCCAGCGACCCTCCTCAGGACCCCCCCTCTGGGAGCCCCCCCCCCCGCGCGCCCCTGGGGGGAGGGATCAAAGGGAAGGGGCGTCCCCTGGAGTCGATTACGACATTGCTCGACTTCCCTCTGGCTGGAACGCTTGGGGGGAAGCGACGACGACGACGACGACGACCACGACCACGATGACGACGACGGCGACGACGACGACGACGACGACCACGACGACGACGACGACGACGACGACGCAAACGGAAAAGCTTCTCACACACCCCGGGATGGGTCGTCGGTTTAGGATGGTCAGGACACAACATTCACGTTGCATTCACGTTGATTCGCGGTGTTTTCAGTTTCAGGACTGGGTGTTTGGCTCGACTTAGGGTTCTCAGGACGCAACAGTCACGTTGATCCGCGGCGTTGAAATCCCAGGGAGGGTGTTTCGGCACGACTGAGGGTCATCCGACGGTTGTCTTCTAATGGGCCACTTCCCGCAAGGAAACCAATTCTTGTAGGGACCTATGAAGAGGGACTTGGGAGGGAGGGATTCTTGCAACATTGTTGGTGCGTCTTGGGTTCAAGATGGTCGTCCTCCTCTTCTTCCTCCTCCACCTCCTCCTACTCCTCCTCCTTGTCCTCCTCCTCGTCCTCCTCCTCCTCGTCCTCCTCCTCCTCCTCCTCCTCCTCCTCCTCCTCCTCCACAGTTACTCAATATGGATACTACTCTCCCTCTTCCCCTGATGACGGCCTGGGAGTGTCCGACCCGCCCCCCGCGTATTGTTTTTTACACACAGGTTTCCCCGGAGTTGGGTTTTCGCTGGTATATATATATATATATATATATATATATATATATATATATATATATATATATATATGTGTTTTTTATATAATGCTGCTCTCGCTGAGGCGCCGCCCTCATTTTCGGGCCCCGCTCGTTCCGAATCGTGCTCCCGCTGCAGCGCTGGCCTCGTTTCCGTGCGCCTGGGCCGGCGCTCGGGCCGGGTCCGGAGCCGGTTCCGGCCGCCGCTGGAAAATCGAGTTCCGAGGCGGCGCCGAAAAACAGCCATTCTAATACACATTTTTCTTTTGAAAATGCTGAATTTTTGCTTCTGGCGCCAGGGAGGCCTTCCGGGCCGATTCCGACGCCCGGGCCGGCGCCCGAGCCGGCGCCCGGGCCGGACGCCCGAGCCGGCGCCCGGGCCGGCGCCCAGCCGGGTCCAGAGCCGGTTCCGGCCGGCGCCGGAAAGTCGAGTTCCGGGGCGGTGCCGAAAAAAGGCAATTCTAATACACATTTTTCTTTTGAAAATGCTGAATTTCTGGTTCTGGCGCCGGGGAAGCCTCCCGGGCCGATTCCGGCGCGCTTCCGCTCGTTTCGACTCGTGCTCCCGCTGCAGCGCTGGTGTCATGTCCCGTGCCGTGCCACGGCATGCAATGCAATGCTCGGTTGATGCTACGCTTCGCGGTGCTCTTCTACGCCATGCCATGCCGTGCTCTACAATGCATCGCGTACCCTTTCGGGATCATTGCACTGCTCGACATCCGACTGTGCGAGTAGAGAGGGGA